GAAAACACACAGCAGCCCTCAACACACTCACACACAGGCTACTGAGATCAGGGGCAGAAAGCCAGGCAAGCAGCACCACTTGTAAGTGTGATACCATCACAGGAGGGAAACACACCAAGAGCCCCTACCATCCACCCATTTGTTCCCTGGCCTCAAGCCTCCAGAAGTCTTCCCTGTGGCCTTACCCTGTTGGGAAGGAGGGGGCCCCTTCTTGCTGGCCCGGGGCATCCACGTGACAGACAGCAAAGTGCTGGGTGATCTCCTGCATATCCTCGAAGTTGAAGAAGGTGTTGAAACAGGATTTATCTATGAGACGAGAACACCCGTGGATCACAAGATCGCCAGCTCTCCCCAGTTTTCCTCTGCTCAGCAATGCTGAGCCCCTGCTCTCCCGCTCCCTTTTCAGCAGCAGTCCACTTAAGTGAGGAGTCTGCACACAGCCTCACTCAAGCTGCTGAAGGAAGACTCCACAGGAGGCACCTCTGTGCCTGGAGAGCAACTGGTTCTCAACTCTACACTGTGGGTTCAGAGTAGGAACGAACACCTTGTGGATGTTTGCTGGGTTTCCTGGTGGTGCACAAAATAATCTCCTACCCACAATGCTGTCTTTCATGCACCTGACGAGGAGACACTGACCTTCCCCTGACTCTGGCTGGAAGACATTCCCAGCTGCTGTTCACCACGTGGGGCTTTGTCAGAACTGCTATGTGCATGGAGGAGACGCTGCTTTATTTCTGCCCTCTTAGGTAGGGCCTTCATCACCTCTCATGCTAAATCTCAGCCCTGAGCCGTCAGTTCAACACTCTGAAAGTCAGAGCAGCATGAAGGATTTTGAGAGTCTGTGCACCTGTAGTTAGAACCTAACCTTGAGAGGGTATTCCAAGTACTAGCATCAACTACTTTTTAGCTTAGAGCCTAAACTCATTCCACATATTCAGTGTTGCTTTTCTGCAATGCTTTCTTTTAACAGAAGTACCAAGACTTTTGTATTTTTAAATATCTGCATATAAATAATGAGAAATCTTCTGGTTTTATATTAAATTTGAATATAAAATTCTTTTTTTTTTTTTGATTTTTGAGAGAGGGTTTCTCTGTAGCTTTAGAGCCTGTCCTAGAACTAGCTCTTGTAGACCAGGCTGGCCTTGAACTCACAAAGATCCACCTGCTTCTGGGATTAAAGGCATGAGCATTGGGATTAAAGGAGTGTGCCACCACAGCCCGGCTCATTTTTAATCTCACATATACCTAATCAGATTGTCTCATGATTATTGCATTCGGGATTTTTAGTGCACCTCTGTGCTGAACATGACTTTATCTTAAGTCAGACACAGAAATTTCTACTTATCGCATCACAGCAGCATTAAAACAGCTCCAGATTTTTTAGGTTTTTATTTGCGCTTGAATAATAGGGATACTCAAACTGCATCATGATGGAGCACCTACTTAAAGAACCTAGTAATAGGCTGTAGATAGAAAACGTAATAATTCAGTGAGTTTCTCACCACAAAATTAAGTTAAAGCTCTAGATTTTTCTAACCTCAAACATTAACAAAGCACCATGGCTGAGGTGGTGGAAGAGCACTTTACTGCGCATGAGCATGGCCCTGATTCAGTCTCCAGTACCCTTACAACCAAACAAAAAACAGGAAACACACTTGGCTCTGCTCTCATAGTACCTGACAGGTCAGTCTGAAGTGGACACAACAAAAAGGAGAATATAGTCTAAAATCCTCCAAGCACATGCCCTGAATGCTACCTAAAGATGGTAACCCTGCATGTGACAATAAAGATGGAGTATATGGAGTACAAGAAAAACTAGTTCAGCCGGGCAGCGGTGGCACATGCCTTTAATCCCAGCACTAGGGAAGCAGAGGCGGGCACCAAAGCTACAGAGAAACCTTGTCTTGGAAAAAAAAAAAGAATTAAATAAATACATAAATAAAAAGAAAGACTAGCTCTGCTCTATTAAATACTACTATTTATGGGCTGGAGAGATGGCTCAGAGGTTAAGAGCATTGCCTGCTCTTCCAAAGGTCCTGAGTTCAATTCCCAGCAACCACATGGTGGCTCCCAACCATCTGTAATGGAGTCTGGTGCCCTCTTCTGGCCTGCAGGTATATACACAGACAGAATATTATATACATAATAAATAAATAAATATTTTTTAAAAATATTACTATTTAGGGCTGGAGAATTGGCTTAGTTGTTAAGAGCACTTGCTGCTCTTACTGAGGACTAGGGTTTGGTTCTTAGCACCCACATGGTGGCTTACAACCATTTGTAACTGAAGTTCTGAGGAGCTGATGTCCCATTTGGACATCCACAGGTACCAAGACCACATGCAATGTACATGCAGTACAAACAGTCATACACATAAAATAATTTTTCAAAAAAAAAAGGAAGACTACCCAAAAAAATAAAAAAGTAAATAAAAATAAGGCAGCTGGGCAGTGGTGGTGCACTCCTTTATGCTTTAATGCCATCACATGACAGGTGGATCTCTGTGAGTTCAAGGCCAGCCTTGAACAGAGAGTTCCAGGACAGCCAGGGCTGTTACACAGAGAGAGTCTGCCTTGAAAAACCGATTAATCAATTGATCAACAAATAAATAAAAATAGAATACTATTGTTCCCTTAATATATAGAGATTGCACATGCTGATTAAAAAGTGAAGCTGTAAATCAATACATACGGTTGAGCCCAATGTCATGGTATGTCAGGATAACTGGTCTGTTTCCTTTTGGTAAGCCTCTTATGGTGACGTGGACCATACCATGGGGTGTTTCAATGTCATGTTCCTGCAATAAGACAACATAAAATCTTAGAAAGGCTTAATGGATCATAAGCCCACCAGAAACAGACAGTACTACACACACTATTTGAACTTTCTAATTTATTATCTACTAATCAGATAATAAATAAATACACAGAAAAAGATTCCTTGTTGTCCTCAAAGCTCAGTTTTAGGAGACCAGGAAACCAAGAATTTGTTGATAAATTTGTAATTTGGTATGGGAAGGAGATCAATAAATTAGATAAAGAACCAGGAAATATTTAAGGAAAGAACAGTTAAGAAACAGAAAATGTAAAACTATTCCTGGGTAAAAAGTCAGAGGCTTCAAAGATCTTGAACATGTGTCTAGGTCCAGATAATTTCAGTGGACACCAAAAGGCATCTTGGCCTAGAATTCTCCTTTCTTGGATGTGTCCTATATCATCTGTCCATTACAGGAGTGGCTCTTAGCTGCCATGTGTGTACAATGAAACCTTTGAGCCACAGCTTCCTAGAGGTAGGAAGGCATCTGGTCATGTGATGTTAGCATCTTTCCCTAGGAATTTGTGTTTGGGACCGAGAGACCACATCTGTGACTCGGTGCTTCTCCTGAAGCAGGAGTAACCCTGGTAGCTTCTGAGTGGCCTGCCACTACTCTTAACTCCTGGTCTTCACTGTGTGTGTTCTTAAGACAGCCTGGACAGCTCCTGGTTTAATATGTGCTGGGCAGTTTGTTCTATATATCTCATAGACACGGACCGAAGCAAAATTGAGAGGTAGTCAGAGTAGCGCTCAGCTCAGGGAACTGAGTAAAGCCAGGAAGGTTTGCAATTGGTAGTGCTGGGAATGCCTGCAGCAACAGAGAATGATGGATGGAGAAGGGAGAGGCGGCAGAATGTTGAGGTTTATTCTAGTCTTTTCCAACTTTTACATTTCTAAAAAAAAATTCTAGCACTTTGCCTTATGAATTTCTGCTGAAGTCTCCATCTGTCTCAGAAAGTTTCACATGGATAAGAAAGAATTAATTATGCCAGTAGGAATCTCAGCAAATGCCATGGATTTCAAGTACAATTTTCTATTTAATAGTGAAGCTCATTATAACACATGGTTTCTCTCATGTGGAAAAGACAATTCTGCCTAGTAGGATATCAGCATATCTCAAATCCTGCCTCCAGATCAGATCATAGAGACCTTTATTGATTCCTGGTATCACTATTTGACATACCTGGTTGCTGATTTTGCCCATGAAAGCTCAGTGCATGGTTTACACAAAAGATATTGTGAACTGGTTATAATATGAAGCATAAGGTTTGGATAGAAAGACTATAAAGATATAAATCCCTGTTATTGCATGGACTTTTATTTATAGACATGTCAGACTTACAGAAGGAATTTACACATGTATGTGCTTGTGTATACACAAACAGACCGAGTTAATTTATTGAATATCTGGCTTTTGAACCTTTACTACATGCTATATTCTGATCTGAGCTCTGAGGCTTATAGAGCAAACCAGAGAGGTGTTGTTGCCTTAGAAATACTATATTCTGGATAAAGTGTCAACCAATGAAACCAAAACCCAACCAACCCATAAGAACAGCTTTTGACAAATACAGTCCTATCCGAGAAAATTAAGAAAGCAATTAGGGAAGTAAAAAATGCTCTGGAGAAGAGTTTGGAAATCTCTGGTTGTGTTGAGAAGGGCCTGCCTACAAAATCTGTAACCTCAGGGGTGTGTGTGTATGTGTGTGTGTGGGGGTGGCTTTTTTTTTTAAAGAGTATCTCAATATATATCTCTGGTCACAATCCTCCTTTCAGGTATATCTGAAGAAATTCTCAACCATGGTTATATACACAAAATCGTCAACCATGCTTATTTTTAAAAATGCAGCCCCCATATACATAAACAGGGAAATTAATAAATCATGACTTACTTATACAATGAAATGAAAACAAGTAAACTAGCAGTATAATCATTAACACCAAGAAATATTTAAAAATAAGTGCCTAGTAAGAACAGGACAGAGAAGATTATGTATGCAATAAATCATTCATAAAGACATTCCACAGCACACCACAAATACTATGCGTTTATGATATTTAACAAATGCAATGTTATGCTAGTCAGAGGGCTTTCTCTTCTTGAGGAAGGAAATGGAGTCTGAAAGGGAACTCGAGGGGACCAGAGTTTCATCTCCATGTTCTGCTTAATTTTTTTTAATTTATTTTTTTAAAAGATTTTATTTATTATGTACACAGTGTTCTGTCTGCATGTACATCTGCAGGTCAGAAGAGGACACCAGATCTCATAGATGGTTGTGAGCCACCATGTGGTTGCTGGGTCTTGAACTCAGGACCTCTGGAAGAACAATCACTGCTCTTAACCTCTGAGCCATCTCTCCAGCCCCTCCATGTTCTGTTAATTGAGAAACAAATATAGGTGGGAAAAAGGAGGGAGAGAGGACTAAGTGCTCTAATTTTTAGGCATCACAGTTCAAGAAAGGTCCCCCAAATTTGTTACTATGATCATCCAGTAGTAGAATCTTCCTTTTGCTTCACCTAAACCTTTAATAAAATCTTGCTCAGTCTACTTGGGCCCTAGCTAAGCCTCTGAGCCCCAGAAAACATTCAATTACAAAGTAACCTTAACACAGGAGTCTCCCAATCCCTAGCTAGTAGTCAGCGGTACTATGTGTATGAGACGGTGGACACTTGAGCTGAAAAAGGAGGAACAGAACAATGGTAAAAATGGAGCTAAAAACGACAGGCTTAAAAAAAAAAAGAACACTTTAACGTGGGAAGGGAGGCAGGACAAATAACTGCTTTGTCATCACTCACGATGTATATGAAATTCGGAGTCAAAATTGGACCCTCAACAAAATCTCAACCTTTCAGGGAGAGCTCAGTCCCTACCTCCCCACAATATGCCTTCGGATCAGGTAACAACCGAAGCATCAAAAGGCCAGGAGTCTTCACTCTGATTTGTTGCCCTGTTTTGTTCTGTTGCCTTGTGTCATTGTCTCGGAGCTCCTCTTCCTTTTGGAAGAGTGTGAATGTAAATGGTCGGAGAGAAACAGTACGAAGAGAAAGAAGGCACTAACCTCCATGGGGATTTGTGGATATATTTCCATTGTAAACGAGGGGAAGAGGTGCAGAGACCCGGGCTGTGGAGCTGATTCAATGGTCAGAGCACTTCAGCATGTGAGCTGCCGCTGCCTTTCGGCTGTAGTCAACCTCATGTGTCTCATTGGCTCTTTCTCAAGTGACTTCCACATCACTATTCTAGAATGTGACCCACAATGGCAGCCAGTGATCAAAGGGCAGAGCTCAAAATGGCTTCTCACAGGCTCTGGAGTCTGTCTCTGAGTTGTATACTTTATGAACACCCTACACTTCAGGCTTATGAAGCAACCCCAGCTCATACAGGCTGCTGAATTATTTATCCTGACTGTCTTGCCCCATCAACCAAAGGTTCATCATAATCAGAGAGCCTCTTAATTTGAGCTAGGGTGGTACCAGTATTGGATAACCACCAACTCTGATCTCTTTCTTGTGTCCTCTCCCTTTAGCTAAAGATGTGCTTGCCACAGTTCTACTTGTTTTTTTTTTTATTTCAGTTGAGTTGTGACCACTTCATGCCTGTCACTACTTCTTTCCTATTAAACATATTTTTTAGCATAAAATTTTACTATTCCAAAAAGTAGGTGTGATGTTTGTGGAACTCAGGTCTTTGCTAGGCAATTGTACTTCATCTAAGTTACACTCCAAGTCCCGATGCATAGGGCTTTTTGATATAATGCCCCATTCACTACCTTACTCCTGTACAGAGGGATAAGGTTCACTTGTGTAATCTCACTGCAAAAAAAATACCAGCCAATTACTTCTCCTCTGTCCTATCACATTTCCCTGTTTAAAGGTCTATGACACATTTTCTCTGACTCTGGCCTTAACTTTCTCCCCTCCTCCCTCTCACACCTTTCACTCTGGTTCACGCAACACTTTCAGGCACCTAGTTTTTGCTTTGCGGCCACCCACAACTTCCAGCCTTCCCACAGACACGTTTCTCATCTGAAAATCTTTCTTTTGCAATATGTCAACCTAAAAAGTCTTTTCCTTCTTCAGAACCAGATCAAGTATCTTCTTTCCACAACCTTAGCTGACAATGAGGAGAGATAAAGAACAACCAACCAACCCCCCAAATACCCCAGAACTCTCTCTAACCACATGGTGTTTCAGGGGTGTGCTGTGCATGACACCATGTGTGACCATTTCTCTACCAATGAGAATCCTGCCCTAGACTTTATCATAATGTTACAAAAAACCTTTTTCTTAGCACTGTGGCTCTGGGATGTAGGGTTTTAAAAAGTTGGTAGCCATCATACATGTGATGTTGTATGACCTGTTGGAGGAATAAACCCTCCACTTACAGAGCGTACAGGCAGGTGGTGATTTGTGATTTTTATTTGTTTTTGACTTTTCCAGTAAGCTCCTCCTACCCTATCTCTCACTTGCCACCAACTTAATTATTTCTTGGTAACAAGACATTGTCCAAGTGACCTCATCTGCAGAGGTTTAAAACCATTTGAACACCTTTGAAGAAGTGATCAAATACACTGATTGGCACTGTAGTAATAATATCTAGTCCTCAAATGGGTCCTTTGCAGAGTTACTGCAATTAAAAAGGCAACATGAAATTATTCACTCCTTGGTCAAGCCTGGATTATCATACACCATTATCAGCTTCTTCTACAGAAATGATATATCCTGCCAGACAAGAGTTTCTTCCTGTCCACTAATATTTACTGAGTGCTGGGATTAAAGGCATGGATCACCAACACCCTGCAAAACCACTTGTGACAAGAATCAAGAGAAATAGCACACATTTAATTAATTTTCACAGTTGAAAAAGATCTGTATGAGCTGCAGTTGATTAGTAAAGAAAAAAGAGGAAAATTGTTGTTTAGATATAAGTTGTGAATTTGGTTAATGATTCTGAGGTGATTTCCTGAGGTTTTCATCACAGAT